GGAGCTGCCGCGGCGGCAATCGCCCCTCGGCGACTGCGGTGAGTGAGCGCGGGGGAGCCCGGCTGGGGTTGGGCGGGCGGGGGAAAGCGGGGCTCGGTGCCCGGGCGCGTGGGATCGGGTGGAGGCGTCTTGGATGGGGCGGAGCTGCTCCGTCTCCTGCCTCCGCCACCAGAGCATCTCCGGCCGCGGTGTCTCCGAGGTGTCCCGCCTGGCTCGCCCCTGGGGAGCCGGGGAGTTTCCGTGCCCGAGGCTGGGGACTGTCAGCCGCCACCCCTGGCTCTGCTCCCCAGGAATTGCGATAGTAGCGGGAATAATAGCGAAGGCGCACTCAGCACCTCCGCACTGGCCCCGTGCGTGGCTTGGCCCCGCTCAGCCCTGAAACGACACTTTCCTCCCAGTGTCGTCTGTTCGGAGAGGCCACTCTCTCTTCGACTGTCCCCCTCATTTCACGTCCCCCTCACCCTATCATATTTTTTTACAACTCACTTAAGCCCCCTGAAATGTTGATTTTCTGGGCAGCCCCTCCTCCCGGGCTTGGGATCTCCAGGAGGGCTGGGATGTTGTGTTCACCTGGCACAGTCTGTGCTGGGGAAAATTCTCAGAAGCGGATAAATGAGCAGCCGCGGGAGGTGCCTGCTGTTATTACCCCCACTTCACAGTTGAGGAAACAGGAGGCTGATAGTGTAAGTAATTTGCCCAAGGTGGCATCACCCAACCTCCTTAGGGAGCTGGGTTCAGCTTCTTCCCACTTGCTTGAGCAGGTGTGAGTGTGTTGGGGTGGGGGAGACTGTCCTCTGTGCAGCTGAACTATAGGTAGGGGTGAGGCGTGAGAGTGGGGTGCCTCTGGCAGCCCCATACCATCTGGCTGGAGGTGGAGAAAGCGCTGATCTGCTGCCGGGATCAGCCCTAGCACCTGAAGTGTTCTGGCTCCTTCCTCCCTCCCTGGTCTCTTCTGCCCTGGATAGGCTGGGAATCCACACAACTTCAAAGATGGGTACCCTGTTCCCTTGGGCTAGCGTGAGCAGGAGGGCACTGTGTGGCCTAGGGGAAGAGCCCCAGAGACCGGGTGGCCCCACTTGAACCCCCTGTTTATGCTTGGACAAATGAAATCACACTCCCTCACCCCCCCCCCCCCCCATCTACCCTTCGCCAAGCCCAGGGTCTGCTGGCGCAGGGGTCACCCAGGATGCGGGTAGGCACAGCTCAGATCCTGGTAGTGCCGAGCCCATGGCTTCTGTCCTTGACTCTTGAGACCGGCACAGCCCATCCATTCCCATCTCCAAGCAGGGCCACCTGCAGAACCTTGGGGAGCAAGAGCAGGGCCCCAGCCTCTCTGGGAGTGCATTCCCTTAGGAAGGTGCTGGGCCAGCCAGGCTCCTGGGCAAACCCTTGGGGAAACAGCTAAGCCGTGTTTGGTGTGTGCGCCTGGGCTGCATGAGCAGGAGAGCCGCTCCCCTGCCTGGTTGCTCCCCGCCCAGGCCACTTCCCTCTACTCCCCCTTACTCCCTGGTGCCCCCACCCCACACTGCAGCTTCAGCACTGGGGCTCGCTGGGTGCTTGTGTTCCTCAAGCTTGGGAGGGACGGGCCCTTTCCCAGGGCCTAGGAAAGATCTGGAGATAGAAGGGGTGCCCACGAGGGGTGTGTGGCCTCCCCACCACCTGGACACTGGGCAGTCCTCCAGGAAAACTGCAGCTGGGCCTGGGGCGGCCGTTCAGTGGAGTCTAGCTCTGTGCTGTTTCCAGGGCTTGTCCAGCTGCTGAGGGCGCCCTTGCCCACAGAGGCACGGCCCCCCCTTTTCCTCTTCTCATCCCGCTCCGCTTCTGTTGCTGCCTTTTCCTGCTGTGTCCTTCCCTCTGCTCCTCTCACGGGCATATTTGTGGTCCTTTGCCTGAGGGCACAGAGCACCCTGGGGTGGGGCTGCCCGACTTCTGTGCTGGTTACACACCACACTTCGCTTTAGTTACACAGCACACGTCCCCCACGTCCTCACGGGCACACGTGAGGGTGACCTGGGTGTGGGGCCAGAAAAGCAGGAGGGGGAGTGCAGAGGCTGGGGGGCTGCCGAGCCTCATCTTGGGTCTTTGTGCAGGTGGCTCAGTGATAGCCACAACTTACTGGGGCGCTCCCCCCCCCCCTCGGCCTGAGCCTGGGGCTGAAGGAGGGACAGACAGGGGGCGGGGCCTTCCTGGCTCCGCAGCAGCCAGCTGCCCCTCTCAGGTGCCTCTTAGTCCACTTCCTGCCAGCTGTGGTCCTGGGCTTCGAGGAGGGATGTGTGCCCCTGCCCACGGACAGCGTAGCAAGGCCTTCCCCTTTCCCTTCTCTAGTGGACCTGGGAGAGGGCCCCAGGGAAGACCCGACCTGGGCTGGGCCAGATGTCTTTCCTCCCTCCTCCCCACAGAGCCAGCTGGGCGCCTCGGGCAGGCTTGGCGAATGCACCAGAAAATCCGGCCTTCGGGGACACAGAGCTGCTGCCCACCAGGCAGAGCCTGGATGCCCGCAGCGCTGGTCCCTACCTGCCCGAGGCCTGTCATACCCTCCTCGAGGTGGCCGCTCCCAGGCGCCCCTGCCCAGCACGGGGCTGGCTCCTTGTCCACCCGCTCGCTCCAGCCGGGCAGAGCCAGCCCAGGGCACAGAGGCCAGCTGGCCAGGGTGGGACCGCCGCCCCTTGCTTCCGCTCTCCCCGACGCTTGCTGCTTCGCGAGGCCTCGAGCCTGTGCTTACGTCCACCGGAACGCCGTCTCCTGTCAGTGTTGCTACCGAGCGCCTCTCCGCAGAGACCGCTCCCCGGCATTCTGCCAGGGCTGCGTGTCCGGAGCTGGCCCTGCCCACACACTGCAGGTGTGGGGTGTCCACGGAGAGGCCCGCAGCCTCGGGGCACCACGGCTCACCTGCCTGGGAACCGACCTCTCGCCGTCACCCTCTGCAGCCTCTGCCTCCTGGGATTGGAGCCGCCTGGCCCTCGGGGTCATGCTGAAGGCTGGGGCGGGGGGCCGGCGGGCCTCAGACTGTGGCCCTGTCCCTCTCCGGCCCAGGTGCATCACCAAGTTTGCCCAGGTGGGTGAGGCTGCCCTACTGGGGGGTTCACTGGTGGGGTGAATGGGGCCGAGCCCTGGGGCGGGAGGACTCCTGACCCAGCTGGGGGTAGTGGGGAGGAGGGGAGAGGGAGGAGATGGGCCTCCTGGGGCCAAGGGGCTGGAGCCGGTCACCTGCTGGGAAGCACGGAGCCTAGGGCCGCCACCCCCAGTGCTCTTGCACTGCTCGCCTGGCAGCTTACCTGGCAGAGCAGAGTGTGGCTGTGTTGCAGGGCAGGGCAAGGGGGTTTGGAGGATGGAGAGTGCGGCTGTGTCAGGGGCTTTTGGAGGATGGGGACCAGGAACCACGGGCCTGACTCCTCTGTCTCTGTCTTCCCACCCCCAACCCGCAAGTAGTACGTGGGCTCCTTCCCCGTGGATGACCTGGACACACAAGAGCGTGTGTGGCTGGTGCAGCAGCAGCTGTGGGCACTGAAGGTAGGGTTGGGGGTCTAGAGGTGGGCAGGTGAGACTCGGGAGGGGCAGAGCTGCGGCCAGGCTGCGAGAGTTCCTACCCCTGTGCCCAGGCACCCTCCCCTCTGGCATGGCAGCCACAGGTGGCAGAAGAGGGGGTGACCTTAACATAGCCACCTGCAGCCCTGGGGCGGGCAGCCAGGAGCCACCTGGCTCCAGGTATGGCCCCCCGGGAGGTGGCAGGGGGGTCTGACAGCCCAGCGTGACCGGCGCTGGGCTGGGCAGGGCCTGCTAGGTAATGCCTGCCCACCCCCTCTCTCCCACCTAGGACTGCCCCCGCCGCCGTGCGGTCATCCTGAAAATCAGCCTTCAGGGCCTGAAGATCTACAGCGGGGAGGGTGAGGTAGGAGCCAAGGGGTGCAGGAGGGCTGGCCGGGACAGGCGTCCTTCTCCCCCTGGGCCCCTCGGCCGCAGTTTGGCGCTCACACTGCCCTTGAGCCTCCCTGGCCCCCCAAGGATAAGCTCTGGCAGCAGTCTCACCCCCACCCCCACTGGGCCCTCCAAATTCTGCTCCCCAGCTGCCTCCCGGCCTGAGCACCTGAAGCATCCGGCTTCGTGGGGACCTTGCAGGTGCCTCTGGCAGACCTGGGGGTGCGGCCTCCCCAGCCGTGGGACAGGAGAGTCCTACTGAGTTGCCTGTCATCCCTGGGGTGCAAGTCACCATTTGTTGAGGACCTCCTGTGTGCCACATGGTGCCCAGCGCCGCAGGAACTGCTCCCCTAACCTGGTGTGAACGGACACCCGGAGCTGTGCAGCTCGGGCCCCGGGTCAGGCCCCGCCAGCCCTGGCGGAGAGGTGCTGCCTCTCGACACTAGCCCCCCAGTTCCATGAGCAAGAAGGACTCAGATGGGGTCCCCTGACGCTGGAGACAGGCACGCAGCCCCAGAGCCGCTGCTTCTGCCTCCTCCGTGACCCTGCAGGCCACCCTAGAGTGCTCCTCTCTTCCAGATGCGGGCTTGGGGGCCCCAACAATCAGGTCTGTGGCAGGGAACAGGGGGCTCAGGCCTGCTGGACACGTGCAGTTGGGGGGTTCTAAGTGGAGCTTGGGTGGGCCGGGCAGGAGGGCCGTGCTCATTGCCCTCGGAGCCTCGTGGGCCCCAGCCGGGCACTCAGGCCGGGCACGCAGGCCGCATGCAGGCAGGGCGGGAGAGCAGGCCAGGAGCCCGGCCACGGGTGGTGGCTGGGGGGTCACACCCGCTGCCTCCGCAGGTGCTCCTGATGGCCCACGCCCTGAGGCGCATTCTCTACTGCACCTGGTGCCCCAGCCACTGCCAGTTTGCCTTCATGGCCCGAAATCCCCGGAGCCCGGCCAGCAAGCTCTTCTGCCACCTCTTTGTGGGGAGCCAGCCTGGAGAGGTACCTGGGGCCTAAGCGGGCCCACCCTGAGGCTGGCCAGAGCCTGGTCCCTGGGCACTGTGACCTTGCAGGGCTTAGCGAGAGGGCCTGCGCCGGCATCTTCTGGGCCGCTGCCCACCGCGGGCGCCACGAGAAGTCCGTGGCCTCATCCCCAGGGTGGGGAGACAGGCCACGCGCGTAGCCCTCAGGCTCACACAGCCAGGCCTTGCTTGTGCCGCCCCCGCTCCGGGACACCCTTCGCCGTCAGCTGGCGACCCAGCTTGCCCTGCAGGCCCACCGGTGTCTGTGCAGCCCCCCTCGGTGGCCTAGGGCACCCCTTCCTTCTGGGGTCCTGAGGCGCGAACTGCATCCCATCGCCCGCCTGCTCCTACGAATGGACACGGGTTCTTCGAGAGCAGGGCTGGGCTCATGTCTTGAACTGTTGTGGGTCTCAGCGCCTGCCCTGGGGTGGGGTGAGTGGGTGGGCAGCCCGCCAAAGCCATCTGTCCACTGTGAGCAGAGGCTAGTTCGGTTCTGTCATGTGGGTTATGTCAAGCTCCGTGCTGGCTGCTGGGGTGACAGGAGGCTGAGATACAGGCCTTGATCACCTGGAGCTCATGGTTCCAGCACAGAGGTTGTGTATGGCAGGTAGAATGTAGGAAGCTGTAGAGGAGACTACATGGTGTTGAGGTTTTGAGGGATGAGTAGGAGTTTTCCCAGGGAGAATGGGGATCCCTGGTTGATGCCTAAAGGGGATCCTTAAGCGGTCGCCCCCAACCGAGCCCCACTTCCTCCCTAGGTCCAGATCCTGCACCTGCTTCTCTGCCGGTCCTTCCAACTCGCTTACCTCTTGCAGCACCCTGCGGAACGGGCACAACCTGACCCCTGCCCGGGGCCTGCAGGGGATGCGCCCCTGAAGCTACCTTCCAGTCCTGGGGGCCCCCTTGGCCTGGTGCGGGAACCCTTCGGCCGTGATCAGCTCTCCCAGAACGTTCACGCGCTGGTCTCCTTCCGGCGGCTGCCGGCAGAGGGGCCGATGGGCAATGGGGTAGGCAGCACCCTAGTGAGGGGAGGGGGCGGCGGACCGGGCAAGGGCTTGGGGGTGACGTGCGTGGATGCTGGAATTCAGAGGGAGGGGGGTTTTGACTGACCTGACATGCCTCTTCCCACCCTCTGGGGCCTCTCTTGGTGACCCAGAAGGAGCTGTCAGAGTCCGAAGGCCGAACTCGCCATGCCCGCCTGGGGAACCCCTACTGCTCGCCCACCCTGGTACGAAAGAAGGCCATTCGCAGCAAGGTGATCCGCTCCGGGGCCTACCGGGGCTGCACCTACGAGACGCAGCTGCAGCTGTCTGCTCGGGAGGCCTGTGAGTTGCAGGAGCACCCCCAAAGCACACAGGGTGAACCGCAGGCGGCTGACTGGGCAGGGAGGGGCCTCTCTGACCGGGCTGGTCCCCACAGTTCCCGCTGCGTGGGAGGCGTGGCCCCGCCGCCCTGGCGGCCCCTCGTGCCTGGTGGAGACCGAGGGCAGCCTGACGGAGAACATCTGGGCCTTTGCCGGCATCTCCAGGTAGGAGGGTGATGGTCAAGGCTGCCCAGCCCCTCGGGGTGAGCAGAGATGGAGCCCGTGCACGCCCCTGCACTTACCCGCCCCGGGCCCCATTTCCTCAAATGGCAGGTGGGTGTCATAGAAGAGCCGTCGTCCCCTGGCAGTGGAGAGCCCACACGAGGTCATTCGGGTCATTCAGGCCCCGTTGCCCAGGCGCCTGCTCTTTAAATCTTTCCTGATCGTATCTTAAAGTTGTCAGCTAAACCGCTTAGACACTTCTTAGGTAGAAAGTCTGAAAGCTTCTCTGGGCCAGGCCCTGTGCTTTGGACACTGTTGGGCTGGGAGGTCGTTGCCCTGGGAGTTCCCGAGACGGGCCAGACTGGGCGTGCGGCCTTCAGCCTGGCCCTGGGCCCCTAGGCCCAGCGCCCTGGCTCTGCTGCGGAGAGACGTGCTGGGGGCCTTCCTCCTGTGGCCTGAGCAGGGCGCCGGCCGGTGGTGCCTGTCCGTGCGGACGCAGTGCGGCGTGGTGCCCCACCGGGTGTTCCGGAGTCACCTGGGCCGCTACAGTGTGGAGGTAAGAACTGGGGGTGCAGGTCGGGGCTGTGTTGGGGGTTCCGGACCTGTCCCTTACCCTAAACTCTGAGCTCCTGAGACCCCCTGCCCTCTTCTGCCCCCCCACGCCCTGAGCCATCTTTAGCCTGGGAGGAGACTGACTGGAGAGGGCCGGGTCTTGCCTAACCCAGCACAGCCTGTGAGCCTCCACGGGAACGCAGGTTTCAAGGACTGGGAGGGGATTCTCCCCTGCACCCCACATGCTGAGGGCACCCTTGGAGTCCAGGGGCAGGCAGGAGCCAGAGGGCACATGGCCGCGGCGTGCTGTGAGACGTGCCTGACCTCTGAGCGCAAATCTCCCCTTGTTAAAGTGGGGCAGGATCTGGTGTGAGGGCTGGTTGGGGCCCTTGGGGACAGGGCGGGGTGGGGGGGCTAGCTGGAGCGGAAGCCCCTTCCTCCCCAGCACCTGTCGGCGGAGTTCTCCAGCCTGGAGGCCCTGGTGGAACACCACGCTGGGACCGAGCGCAGCCTCTTCTGCTACCTGGACATGGGCCATCTGAACCCCGGCTATGAGGAGCAGGACTGTGGGCCCGAGGGCAGGCCTCCCCGGACACTGCGGCCACTGAGCCACGCCAAGTCCGAGGCAGAGCTGCAGGGCCTGGGCTAGGGCTGCTGCTAGCCAGACCTGCCTCACTCTGCTCCGGAGCCTCAGCAGGATGTGCGCCCTTCCTCCACCCAGTCACCGCTCCCCCCCCCCCCAAATCTTCCCGCTTCCCTGGGGGAGGAGCCCCGGGCACAGCACGGTGTAAACACGACCATGGAGCTCCGCTCCAGGCTTGCGTGATGGATGTTGTGGTCTCTGGGCTTCACTGTGCTCCTGGAGTGCTCTGAGGCGGGCAGTCAGGTGTCACGTGATGGAGGTGTAGCTCTTGAGCCAGGCCTGGGCCCTGACTGACTGGGAGTCTCCAGAGAGCTCCTGACCAGGGGAGGAGTGAGACGTGTCTGGGAGGCAGGACTGGGTCCTCACTTTGGGCAGGGGCCGGAGCTGAGGCCACGCTGCACCGGACTGCCGGGTGGAGTGGGGCCTGCTGTCACCGGAGGGGAAGCAGCTTTCCCTGGGGAGCGGTAGGAGGCACAGGGTGGACTGAGGGGGGCCGCCTAGCGCCCCGCGCAGGGGGACACCGTGTGTGGGTGGACACGAGGCTGCGGGCCACTGCCTGGTTGCTCCGTCCCGGAGGACGACGGTGTCGAGAATAATTGCTGGAACTTCCAGTACTTTGAGGAAACCTCGGACGCTTCTGTGGTTTCACGTTGGAACATTCACCGTGTCCCTGGGGTGGCAGCTTTCTCGGTTTGCAGTGGCAGAGCCAAGGAAGGAGGCATCTGGCGGAGGTGCAGAAACACAGAAGCGCTGGCCCCGTGAAAGACTGTGCGGGCGGGAACGGCAGGAATCTGTCAGGTGCAAAGTGGCTTTGCATCAAGTATTTGAGGGGGTGACGTCTGTGGATGTTTGCTGCTACCTGTGTTCCCGAACTGTGAAACGTGACCGTGTGCACGAAGGAAGAGTTCCTCTTGAAAAGCAATTACCAAGTGCTGCGAAGAAGCGGCGGGGAGCAGCGGACGGCGTGCAGCTCAGTGTCGCTGAGGAAGGCTGGTTTGTGCCCCTGCAGGGCCACGGGGCTGTGCTTCTGCCTTCTCGGAGTGATGCCCCCTGCCCCAGCCCCCAAGACCTACACACCAGGTCTTTGCCCCTTTCGGAGGCGGCCGCCGTGAGCTGCAGCCTGAGGGGTGACCAGGACACTGTCCATTAGGCCCAGTCTGGGCTTGATGATTCCCTGGGAAGCCACCAGCACTGGCTTTCCTTGAACGGGACGTGACCGTGTCTGTCAGGGGCTGCCTCTCGTGCCAGCTGCAGGGGGATGGGGTCAGAGCGGAATATCCAGAGGCAGCACTGATGGAGGCCCTGCCAGAGCGAGGGCGTCGGGGGGCTGCAGGGGACCCAGACGAACGCGTCTCGCTCAGGCCACGGCCCTGCAGTGACTGACCCGTCCAGGCCTCTTCTGTATAAGTAGCCTCCAGAGAGACGGGAATCTGCTGAACGAAGTAGGGAGTTCACTTTGGGTGAACTTCTGTACCTGGGGCTGAGCCCTGGTCACCCGCCAGGGCTGCCCCCTGCCACCTCCCTTCCCGGGAGCAGTGCAGTGCCTTGGGAGAAATGTCTGACAGCTAGAGGATGAGGGAGCCCCACCAGAAGAGATCACAGGCAGGATCTCCAGCTTCAACACTTCACCGGGGAAACAGTCCTGGCCAGGGGCCTTGTGCCTGCTGCAGGGAGCGGAGGACGCTGTCCTTCGGGGGCCTCTTTCTGGAACCGCAGCACTGATCTCTAATGGGAACTGGCTCTCGTTTAATCGCCATTTTTCTGGATCCCTGGCCCCAGAGGGAGGCCCTGGCCTCGTGTTCCCACCCCTCAACCCCGCAAAGGGTTTGGTGGTAACAGTGCCCAAGGTCACAGGACCAGATGCACCTCTAAGGAAACCTGGTAACTGGCCCGCCCACGCCCAGAGCTACCCTGAAGGACCGGGTTTGTCGCCGGTGATGCATGAGGACACCGTGTCGGGAATGCCCCACAGCACCTCAGCGCTCCTCCTCGTGATCCCGTGGCACATCGTGGCGATGCCTCGTGTCTTTGTTATACTTCAAGTATGGTGGTCCAGCCAGCACCACCAGCTCTCTCTGTTGTGTGGAGTTGAAACAAATAAAGTGCATTTCTCAGATTGCCCAGTGCAGACTTGTTCTTTGAAAGGCAAAATGCGTGTCCAGTTCACCAGTTTGTTTTTGTTTGCTCAGACATACCTTCAGCTCTTGCTGGAAGGTGAAACAGACAGATCCTGTCCTCAGAGGCTCAGGATGTCCTGAAGGAATCAGGTAGGTAGGCAGATATCTTCAAATCGCATCTCTCCTTAAAACCTTCAGTGGTATTTCCTCCAGCAAAAAGACCCCAGACCTTATGCTCTGGCAATTTAGATTCTCTCTGCTCCTGCCACAGGACCTTTGCACAGTGTGGCTAGGTCTCCTTGTCTTTCTCCCCATCCGGTCACCCTCAGGAAGCTGCCATCTGCCCTGACTCCTTCTTGCCCCCCACCTAGCTGGCTGAGTCTCCATGTTAGATGTTCCTTAGAACAGCTAGTCCATTCATTTGTAGTTACTCTTTTATTCATGGGATTTGTGTTTGTGGGGTATTTGTTTCCAGTGTCAGTCATCCCAGCTGGACTGTGGGGCCCCAGGGGAGCAGGTTTAGGCTGCCTTCAGCACCTGTCACCCGGCCTGGCAGGTAGCGGTTTCTGTGCTAAGCGGAATCTAGAGGGGACTGACTGCTGCTCATTTGCCCTGCTCATTTGCTGAGCGAGGAAGAGAGGCCACCACTCTAAGCAAGACTGTCGCTTTCAAAACGCTCGTTTTTCAGTCTTTGAATAGAGGAGGGGGGGTGCTCGGAGGAAGTTTGCCCTGTTCCGAGAGCTATGGCAAGCGCTGGGCTAGCCTCACAGGGTCCGTTTGGGGGTGTAGATAAAGAGCTGCGAGGTCCCTGTCGCCTTTTTCCGGGGTCCCCACCCCCACGCGCCCTGAGACCTTGCCTCCCTGGTGGAGTCAAGCCGGCCTCCCGGTTCGAGCTGGGCGCCTCGCGCAAGTTGCGTAACCTCCGGCCTGTGAGGGCCGTGAGAATCCGAGAAGAAAACGGGTGTGCAAAGCCGGAGCTGGTCTCCCCGGGGGAGCCCCCGGTGCCTCCAGCCCGGAGATAGTCCCGCGCGACGCTCCTCGGCGGTGACCGCGCGGCCCTTCCCGGGAGCCCCCGGCTGTGACGCCACGGCCGTTGCCCAGCAACCGCGAACGCCGCGCGCTTGCCAGCG